TAACATTGTTGGGCTGATGTTTAGACGAGTTATATATATACAGAATGTACACAGCCATGTATCACCATCACTGCTGGTGATCCGATGGATAAATCTGTTGTAGAGTTGTCACTGGTTCAGACGTACTTATATATATATATATATATATATTTTAAACATAAATGTGTATGTATTGATAAATTTATTGAAATTGATATATATATATATATATATATATATATATATATTATTTAGATTCGTAATTAAGGCTGTATATCTTTACGGATATTTATTTTTGTCACATTTACTCTTTGGAGGGAAATTTCTATTTCAGTTCACTCTTTTTATAGCCTCTTAACATTTTTGATTCGAACGTCAATGATGAGTCCTTTATAAATGCGCTTTCGCACAAACTTTTAATCCTGGTATCTATGATGTGATTATATTCAATTTACTTTCTGAGCAGCCACATTCCATTCTTATGATAAATTGCTGAAATGCATTGCTGTATTTATTTAGATATAACTGAATCTGGGGGAAACTGTACAGATCAGTCAAGGCTGAAACTCAGTTGAAATTAAACAAAAGAAATGAAACTCTTAGTTAGAGAAGGTAAAAAAGACTAAGTTGGTAAATTTGAATTGTTTACATCTGTTTCTAGGGGCTTTAAAAGTTTAATGAATGTGGCTAATTTAGGATTGTTTGCGTCTTATGTATGTGATTTTACTTAAAATATAGAATGGAGCTTCGAAATATTTGTAAACTTTTATATTTTCACAAAACAGTCGATTGTGGTAGATGCAAATACATGTTGATTTTTTTTTTGTGCATAAGCAGAATTTCGCTGAAAAAAAATCGGAAGAAAGATAATAGATTGATCTTTTAAAAACATTAATTTGCATCTCTGCCCCCCCCCCCCCCGGCAACAGTTCTTTGGAAAAAAAAATCCCCAAAATGGGCAATAATTTCATCGGTAAGAGAAAGTGTATTTGAGTTGGCTATTCTTTCTTGAAAACGTATGTTTAAAAGAAAATCTTTGATACATCATCTCGCCTCAAATTCTATTATTCTTATATATTTAAACTCTATGTTGATATAATAACATTAAAAATTTACAGTACTAAAAATGAAATATATGAGTCAAGTGAAATACCTTTCCAACAGAGTAGGTATGTTCAAATATCATTTTTTTTACTAAAGTCATAACTTCAAAAAATTGTTTGTGTGTTTTTTTTTTTTTATTTAGGGTAATTAGTCTTCAACCCTAAAATTTTTGGAAGGGCATTCCACGAAATATTTAATTAAAAGTTTTTTAAATATTTTTCGAAAATCCCCCGACAACCGATTAGATAATTGTTTAAAGTTGACCAAATGTATACATGGTATAAAAGTTCATTAAATGATGCTCAATAGCTAGTATATGTAGTACATTTGTCTTATAAATTACAACAGGCATATAAGGATCGTGAGGATACTATGTGGATAAATTTATCGGGTTTCAAGAGCTAAATTGACAGCGCGTCATTACTACAATGGCCTCCAATTTTACGATTATAAAAATTAGGTGACGTAATGGGGAGACAATTTTAACGAAGTAGAATCCTGACTGAGTTAATATGTATACTTTTTTCACGCTATTTTCATAGTATCATATTTTTTAACAGAGTCTGCAATATTAGGTCAGATTGAATGAATGAATGGAGAAATAAATCTATAGTGTGAATAAGATCTTTATGAATGATAAATACAATTTAAAAGCCAAAACATGCTTTAAAGTCGTTAGAGCTTGATATATTATTAATATATTAAATAATCATAAACAATAGATTTTAATGAGGGGAAAATATATCAAACAGAAAGAAAGAGGATGTTTGTGTATATATAAGTAGAAATTAAATGGTTAAATATTCATTTTAAAACCTTGGTTTTATTATTATAGACATCTTTAATAGGAACAAGTTTTTGTATGTTTATTTTATGAGGTCATATTTTAAACACTGAACACATTATTCATAACTTCATATTTATCGGCATGTTAATATTTAATGATGTAACCATGATGCAATTGATGTAGATATAATCATATACTCATTTGACCACTAAGTTAGTAATTGAAGCAGCCAAATAGTTGTGTTATGTAGTTTAATAATTTAGTTAGTAATTTCTTTATTTTACTTACTAGACTTTAGATACTGCATATAGATATAGTTAAATAAAAAGGAAAATTGTTAAATGAATTGATCATACAACATAAGATTATAAACATCACGGTTACTTCCTAAAGTGTAGATAAATAAAGAGACAGGACAACAATCGACGAGGATTATGATAGTATTTCCAAGTTCGCTCTTCAAATGAAAACGTAAATAACAAAAATACCAACGCCAAGAAAAAATCAAAAATGCCATTCTATTGACAACAATGTGTGAGCAAAACAAACAGACAAATACCAGAAAGTAGCACGTATTTAAAACAAATGAGTTCCTACTCATAGGTGTAACCATCATAATATAAAGAATATTTTGGTAATTTTTTTTATCAAATGAAAGTTGAAAGACTTGTAATCATTGCAGAGTAATTTTTTACTGATTATTTTGAATGAAAAAAATCATGAAATTTAAAACTGAGGGTCCATTTTGCCGGTTTCTCAGATCTAAAGTACCTGTTTTTGGTATTTTGAATTTGAAGAGTTTAACACAGAAGGCAATGACTGGTGTGCCTTCTTCGACTAGTTGCATTACTGGTTATTCACGATTCGTACACGTGTTAAAACTGGGTTTGTTATTTTTTCATAAAAAAATACCGTAGAAAATTGACTGTTCTAGTTTCACATTTTCATGTTTAGCTGCTGTCTAATTTTTTACAGTAAGACATTCAAACTTTTGGTCATGTATTGAGTCAGACGTGATTTATATATTCAAGTTCCTCAGTTTTTATTATAATCCACAAAAATATATCCTTTGCAACAATGAATGATTATCAAAATGTCAGTACGCATCAACGTAAATCTCTGACCGATGATTTATCTGCCTCTGAATGTTGCTTATTTTATTTTTTGCTTGCAACATATTTTTGGTTTGCTTCATCAAAGGAATCGTACTCAACATTGGTAAAAGGTATTTTGTTCGTGTACTGTTACAGCACCCTCCCAGATAAAGGAGTTGGGATCATCACTATATTAAAATTCCGCCACTATTTTTACCATAATCCTGTAGTCCAATGGTTGTCGTTGTTTCTATTTATTTTCGTTTATTGTAAAAATTTAAATTAGGCAGTTGTTTTTTTTTCTCTTTGAATATTTTCACATTATATTTACCTCCTTTTTGTAGCTTATTATACTGCATGGGTTTTGCTCATTGTTGAGGGCTGTATGATGACCTTTTGTCTGTTAAATCCTTGTTCTTTAGTCTTTGGTGCATAGATGTCTCGTTGGCAATTAACGTGTAGTCGGGATGGGGACGTAAAAATCGATGCACCGTCTAGGATTTGTAACACGCTTTCTATACGTAAAAAAAACTAGCAACAACTCACTATAGTGTTCGTGGATGGCATGTTGGGTGGCAAAATTTCTGGTCCTAACCATCATACCCCTATTTTCTAGTTGCAGTCCATTTTCCACTCTAAATTATGGTCCAACTATACCTATTGTATACATGGTTATTTTGTTTTGTCCAAAATATGCATATAATATTTGCAATGAGGACTTTAAGCAAGCAGCAGACACTCCGACAATTATTGACAATTTCACAACATCTTCTTATTTTCATATAACAAAAATATGTACCCTTTCGTTTTCTTATAGCCAAATCTGTCAGTGTCGAATATCTCTGTTTCTATATTATTTTCCGTTATACAAAAACCCACTATATTTTGCAGCGTATGCAGCCACACAGACTTGTGGTAAATATGAATATGTTATCTAATATACAAGTTTGTATTTTGCCATGGACATTATGGATCTCAAAATAAAAAAAAAATAATCTTCAAATGTTCCTTCTTGTTCTTTGAATTAATAATATGCAAAGAAAGAATAATCATTTAAACACCTTAAAATTATTATATTAATTCAACAGTCATACATATTCAACAGTCATACATTTTTCTTTAAAATCATGACAGAAAAGGTCGACTTATCAACAGTCATAAAGACAATATCGTGACAAGAGTTTTGCAATTTTCTATGGTAATAGTAATAAATTACTTGCAGAAATCATATTTTAGCTGTGTTTAAAAGAATGAAAATCATTATGCCAATTCTAAGTTAAATTATGCCAATTCTAGGTAAAGATAATATGCTAAGTAAAATTATTCCAACTCTATGTTAAATGCATGACATGCGGTTTCATTATATAATGGCACAATCCTAAACGATAAGAGATAAAATAGAAAGTAAAAAACAAAAAACGCCAGACATCTGTAGTTGCCAATTTCTCAAATTATTTAACAGGGACATTTTAATCATGTCATTGCTACAATGCTACATTGGTACAACTAGTCGCATTTCGTTTTAAGCTCTTACAATTTCATTTGTATCTATTCTTTTAGTTCGACTGTTTTATACCTTGACTTATGGATATTTGAGCATTTATGAACTACTTTTGTATCTAACATGGTCAAATACAGATAGTCACTTGGAATTATAAAACTACCAAGTATATATACCAGTTGGAATTTAACAACAAAACAAGGATATCTACCTTACACCCATTTGGCTATCAGTACGGCGGATACACGATTACAAAAACCATTGTACAGCAATGGCAATCGGAAAGCAGACAAACATCTGCCGCACACGGTAGCAAAAACATTTGTTTTGAACGGCAATCTGGAAAACAAATCAAAATCTCATGTACACGCTATCAAAATCCATTGTAGTGCAAAGGCAATCGGAACACCAGACAAATATCTGCAACTCACGATAGCAAACCCAATCATTTTGAATGGCAATCGGGAACAAAGATCGTAAATCTGCGGAAATCACAGCGACATAAGCCTGTTATAGCGTGTGTACAAATCCAAAATGAATTGTTGAAATGTTTATATTTTATCGCCATAGTTTAGTTATATAGAAATTGCACTACTCATTAATTTATTGTCACAAAGTTTTACATCCTTGACAATTTTATGTACTAGTCAGGGGATGTATAAAACCTATAATCTCATCATTGGTCGTACATGTTTCGTTTACTTTTTCTTTAGCCAAGGGACTTTCTTTCTAATATTGCAAGCAAAATCGTCTTTATCGTCTTCATCTGATAATTGGTGGTTACGAGCCATAGGTGAAAGGAACTAAAACAAAATAAATCATATCATTAAAAGTGTTCTTTATAGGAAGAACAGCTTGGCTGCAAGTGTGATAGATTAACAATACTGGACTGGCACGAAAAAGGCCTAGTTATATAAAACCAAAAATGTACTACATATCAAGAGTATAAAACTGTTACTTCAAGTTGAAGAACTGAACTATTAATATCATTTACATGTACACTAGTATACGTTTTCATAACTTCAAATTTGTAGTTCTACAAATGTACACATGCGAAAGTAGCTGTGTAGACATCACGAAAGTGTCCGTATTTTACTAATTTATATCATAATTATACTGGATCATGATCAAACAACGTGTCAACACTCAACAGAAACCTTCATTCATATAATTAAACAGATAAAAGTATTTAATTTTACACTTGACTTTTCTTTTGAAATACTAATATATCTGCTAAACAGGACACTTAAGAGAATCAACTTGGAAAACCTATTTCACAATTTTTTCATAAAAACATGCAATAACTATGTTAATCAATTTTTTTTGTACTTGCATATGGCATAATATATACCAGTTAATAAATGAGTATTTACACAGTAAAATTGCCATAATTTCTGTACACAGCAACAAAAGTAATAATAATGATGATCTGTGTCCAATTTAGAAGATGATGCAGCTATGTCATGCTATATAGCAGTATCAGAGCCGTCAGGTGTTGTAATTAATCAGGATCTGCTTACTCTTGAGGAGCACCGTAGATTAACCCCCGTTTTCGGTAGGGGTTCGTGTTGCTCACTCTTTAGTTTTCTATGTTGTGTTTATCATACCTTTTGATCTTTTTTTTTTTGTCATGGCCTTGTCAGTTTGTTTTCGACTTATGAGTTTGAATAACCCTTTGGTATCTTGTGTCTCTCTTTTTGTACACATTATTCTAGCTTTATGTCTTCGTCTAAGTTATGTTTTGTTATAAAAAAACAGATTTCGCACATACTTCTTCATTCACTGATATCTAATTAAAAAGTAAAATAACAAAAATACCAGACTCCGAGGAGAATTATAAACGGAAATTCCCTAAGCAAATGGCAAAATCAAAAGCTTAAACACATCAAACGAATGGATTACTACTTTCATATTCCTTATGTAGAAAATGGTGGATTAAACCTTGTTTTATAGCTAGCTAAACCTCTCACTTGTATGACAGTCGCATAACATTCCATTTTATTGACAACGATGGGTGCATTAAACAAACAGACCTAATAGGTAAAAATGTTAAAAATAAGGGTACAGCTGTCACCATTGTGTTATAATCTTAATCACTATAAAAACAAAGAATATGTCAAACAAAGAAAAACAAAAAGGCATATAGACAAAGCACATTAGCAAAAACGAAAGGCAAGAATACAAAAATTTACCATAGCACAATGACGGGATGTATAAGTACCTAGCCACGTCAAATGGATATTACCAAAAAATAGACTAAACAGTAAAAGTAATAATTTACAAAGACAAATAAAAAAATGCTATAACACGTTATAAAGATGATAAACAACGGCAGTACCTAGAATCTCTACTTCAAGACCATCGTGTATTATTTGTGAAGTTGATACGGAATAATTATCAACAAGGTCTTGGTATCTTCCGATGAACTTTTTTTTAGAAAAAGGACGAGACGTTCTTTGACATACCCCTGGTTCATCAACCTTTCTGTTCAGACACTGGTGACATTTTACAAAGTCTTAGTAGCAGCTGTTAGCTCTTGAATACCGAATGAGTTGGGAAATGTATATCCCATATGCAGGTGATGTTGGTATATTGCTACTAAGGTGGGGGAAATTGATAACTTCAAAATTAAAATCGTCTCGTTTATCATAGATTCTGCAGTACTGAGATGACCGCTTATGTCAAATTCGAGGTATAATTCTAAAAATGAGGCAGAGGAAGCTGTGCCTGTTGTTTCTTTAATTTCTAGTTCTGCAGGATATATTAATGGAACCCAATCAGAAAAGTTTGGAAAGAACATCATCAATATATCTGAATGTGAAATTAAATAAATGGCTTCTTTGATCTTTTTGTTTTTGACAAGTGTCTGAAGGAACTCCGACTCATATGAAAATAAGAAGAGTCGGCAAGGAGAGGCGCACAGTTCGTTCCAATAGGAATGCCGACAATTTGTTAAAACAGTCTACCTCCAAATTCAACAAATATGTTGTCAATAACTCCAGCCTACTAATCACTTGTTCCTCTGTGTAGCATGTTTTACTTTTTTGTTCACTATTAACAAAATAAGCCGTATGGTATCCTAAAGTTATAAACTTATAGCGTATGCTACCATTTTTATGTTGAAATTTAATCATTGTGGATTATTTCTTTTAGACGATTTTTCAATTTCACATGGGGAATGGTGGTATACAGGGTTGAAAAATCGAAAGATTTGATAGAACTTATTTCAAAGAAAGATTGCGATTTAAAATTATCCAGAAGTTCTTCGGAGTTTTTTAGAATCCACATATGGTTAATACCACTACGCGAGATATTGGAATAACATAGTAGAATAATTAATCCACGTACCTCGTCATCCATATTGTGTTTTGTCATAAAAGCTGCTTTAAGTACTCTTTGATCTACCTGCGACTTAAATTCTACAAACTGAAAATAAAACAACCTTACATCACGTCTTAGTATACAAAGTTTTAATTATGAGACAAAAAAGGACCTAATAAGTTTACAAGGAGGTTTGATTAAACTTAAACCATTTGTTGTTTCGATTGGCGTAATAAAAGGTAAATCAGGCCATTAGAGGTCTCGATTGAATGGTTTCACATTTTGTTGTCCCGGTACCTTTTATGGTAAAAAAAATTGAAAGTGTTCAAGTAAATTCAAGATGATATAATAGTCTTTTGTATATTTACTTAATGATTTTTTCCAACTTTTTGTCATAGTATATGCATTTATATAGCCATTACCATATTTAAAAAATACGTTTTCAAAGAAAGAGAAATTTAGAGATAGTTTTTTTAAGAACATACCACGTTATCGTTGTCCTGTTTGTCTTCAAGTGAAAGTAGAAGGACCATAAACTTTAAGTGTTGATCAGTTCTCTGTCCTTGGTAATGAACTGCAATTTGAAATACAAGATTTCAGAAATATATGCATAAAGATATTGACTTCATTGTTCTTTTTGCATAAATCAGGCCGTTAGTTTTCTCGTTTGAATTGTTTTATATTTGTCATTTCGAGGCCTTTTATAGCTGACTATGTGGTATGGGGTTTGCTCATTGTTGAAGGCCGTACAGTGACCTATAGTTGTTACATGTAACTTCTATCTCATTTTTCTCTAGTGGAGAGTTGTCGCATTGTCAATTGTACCACATCTTCATATTTTTATATATAAATGTATTTGAACAGTGTGTTATATTAAAATTTTGTCTTTGACATATAAAATTATGAGTTGCCAAAGACAAAATTTTAATAAACTAATATTCAAAATGATTGGTAAATTTGTTTATCAATGTCTGTTTTGTAATGAAATTACGTTTCCTTTTCTACTTTGAATAAAAACTGTATGTAAATGTCTGTAATAACATGTGAATCATGCATCTGTATTGGTATCAAAACCTTATATCCTAGAACAGTTTGTGATTTTACTCATCTAAACTTACGGGCACTTTTTGACCATGCTTTCCAAACTATGCACCGTCTTTTAATTATAGTTCTCGTCAGTAGTTCTAATGTTTGCAGCTGGACTGTGCAAGCTTTTTTATGGCGTGTTTTACTTTTAAGATATGTAAAGAGGGAAGTTTGAATGCAAGTAAAACTGGTTCGAAACCGCCACATTTTACCTGTACCAAATAAGGCTGCTTGGACCAAGTGTTGTTCGTTGTTGCTTGTACATTTTATTAATAAGGAATCATGGTTTAAATCGATTTAAAAAGCATAAAAGAGATGTTGGGTATACTCTTATAAGAAAAACAATCGAAAACCAAAAGACATCTACATGTCATATTACACACTTCTACAATAGAAATATAGGTGTTTTTACTATAATAAGTTACGCTGTAACTCGCCTCGACAGCTATGAAAGTGGAAAAAATCAAGTTAACTGTCAAAGACCTATTTCTAAACCAGACACACACAATATTTTTTTTGCTATTACAGGTACAACATAAAAGTTTTACCAAAAGAATTAAGTTAAAAATAAACATGCGGAAAATTATGCCTCACTATGTTGAAGATTGTAATCTGCATTATAAATTGATATAATACAAAGTATAATTTACTTTTTGATGATTTATACCTACTTGTATTGAATGTTTCATACCTAGTTTCTTTCAAATCTAATTTTAAATTTGATAGATATAATAATCATGTTAAAGTAACCTTTAAGACGTTAGAAAGTATATTTCTAATGTAACAATATCTTACTATCGATCATCCTTGAACTCTTTCCAGATAAAACTTCAGAAATTGGCCTAACAGTAACACCATGTGGCAGAGTTGTTCTCACTTTATATTTCACATCATAATCTTCGTCATTGGTAATGGTAATGATGCCATCACAGTCTTCTTTATAACTGCCTGTAACATCAAAATGACGGAAGACATATTAGACAAGATTGACGTATAAGATTTCAGTTTAACTGTAAGATTTCAATGTTTTTTTCTGTATTGAATTTCTTCAGACACTTTTATGGTTAAAAATCTGAACGGCAAATAAACATAAAACATATAGATATAGGAGAGATAAAAGCAGCAAGTTTTTAAGTGGGTTACCATGTTTATGGAAACCAATCTCGAGTTTTTTTCCTCTCTCAAACAGCTTTAAACAGAAGATTGTAAGTATCATCACTGTCTATGACCGCCTCCTCAGTTATATCAAAGCCATAGGACGGTCATCTTGATAAATACTATTTGAGGAAAACACTAGTACTAGTAGATATTAATTGAGTGCTGGAAAGAAAATTGCAAAAAATAATTGTGAATACAAGTCTCCTTGGAACCTCAATCGCTCACCTAGAAAATATGCACTCTTGATATCTATTTTTTTTTAAATGTGTAGCTTTTTGAATGCATTCGTGTGAAATCAAAACTAATATGTTTTTTTTTCTTCAATGCTGGGATCACATATAAGAATCTGAGAATTTTTTTTACAAAATCCTTAACCCCCACGCCACCCTTTTTATTCTAAAAATCAAAATGTACTGTATCTAAATATTGCCATCTAAAACTATTTGACACTATGCTTGTCTATCTATTTTGATTTTCCTATTTACAGTCTCTCTCTCTAATCGACCTAGGTTTTTTAACACATGAAATTTAACGATATTTGAGTCCAAGCGATCAGGCAATTATTGTTGTTAAAATCTTGGGCGCTGGGTTTATATATTATTAATAACATGTCTTAACAAAGTTTCGTTATATTTTCTTACCTTTAATGAAACTTTGTCCATACATTTACTTTGGGCATTTTGAATCTTTCAGAAATCCCAGAGATAGCATCTGGTTTTGCAGTAAAAATAATCATGCGACTAACTACAAATTTTCAAGGATTAGTCTGTATCTTTGTGGAACAACAGTATTTTGTAAAATAGGACTTATTCTTCTTTTATCGAACATTTACCATTTTCTAACAATTATAACCCATTATACCTAAACTCAAAACAAGCTGAAGCGCTTAAATTATAATGCCCAAACGAAATAAATTATGTGTTCCTCTTATTTAATCTGCTATATAAAGAGTTTGCATTTTCTTAATACAACAATTAATAAGCATGCCGAGGATATTTTTCCATATCTTAAGTGTTTTTGTGTGAGAAGGCGATTATTTTTCATTTAAATATTCCAGACTTGATAAAAGCAGGATCGAAAATTAATGAAAAAGAGAGCAGTTTGAGAGGAAGATACATTTTGGAACTTATTTGGCACCGTTAATTTTCTAGCAATAAAACATTACTAATACAATTTAACATGTACATGTAAGCATTAGAAGAAAGGCTTTCAGAATATATGAATATTAGCCAAACCTTTATAACACAATTTAACTGTGATACTCGTGCGAAAATAGACTACTTTCAAAATTGTGTTTTTTAAATTAACACAGAACATCGACCTAATAATATTTGCTGGTGACTAGATAAACCCAGTGTTGAAACATTTTTTTTCGGGGTGACGATTATGCTCTATGATATTTCTAGCATGTATACAATTCCAATAGTACCTCCTTTGAATTGTTAGTATTGTTATAATTACATCTTTATCGAGAAAATCAACTTGCAAAACACATGATGAAGAACAACAGATTTACAAGTTATTACCATATATTCTTAGTAAGTACATGTGAGAATGCATTAGGCTTTTATTTAGAGATATATAGACGCAGCTAAACGTGGCATGTTAACCTTAAATGACTCATTTTGTTAAAAAAATATTTTCATCAAAATGGCCTTTTGCTTGAAAAGAAGTAAGATAAAATGGATTATTTCTTTTTCTATTGCATACTTCTTGCATATAAAATTATTTCTTAATTGTACACAAAATAGCAAACTTGTTCTTAAAATGATAAGTCTAGAACCTTTTATTGGGGTGGAAATGGGGATTGTATGACGATTAACGGTAAATACTTTATTGATAAAGTGAGCGATAAACATTTTACCATAATTGACGCTAACGATAGTTCAAAATTACAATGTGACAACTGACGATAACTTTAAAGTTCTCTGTCGAATGAGCGCAGCGAACGAGTTCCAAAAAGGCTTCACATTATGTATAGCTGAGCAGACAGAAATATACATATATTAACGGCCATTCACACCTCTTTAAATTATTCCGTTAGAAAGTTTCAAACACTTCTTCAATTTGTCTAATATGGTCATTTAGATTTCCTATAAATAACTTGTTTACCGTAGCAACTGTATAAATAGCTTGAATTTAAAAACATGAGATTGATAAATTAAATCCTTACCGGACATATGAATAACTGAATTTGGTTCCAGTTGAATTTTCATATTGAATATTTTCTTTCTGTTGTTTTTTTAAAGAAATATTTCGATACTATCATTTTAATATGCACACGACATCCTTAAATGTTTGTAAACAAATCAATAGATCGATATAGAGTATAAAAATAAAACAAATCGGGAAAAACCTGATCGATGTATAGTTAGTTGTTCTTCAGTCATCCGGGTGATCTTGTTATCAATTTGAAATCTAATCAATTTACAATTTTTTGGATCATATATTTAGATAACTAAAGCTTAATATACATGTAAATATTAACCTTATTTTAAAAGAATACAAGAAGATGACATGAAAAGTTTTTAAAAAATTGCTTATAATAACCAGGCAGACCTGACTCCTTAGTAGGAGCAAGGAGGTTATATGAGACTCATATAACCCCCTTGGTAGGAGTGAACGAAGAAGCTTCTTATTTCGAAATTCTGCCTTTAATTGTCACTAACTTTATAGGGAAAATATGGGCTTGCTTTGTTGATGTTTACCCCTGACCTCTGGCTATGGGCCTGGTAACAAAAAAGACTGCTCCCCATGAAATAGTGTCCTATCCATGAAATTTTGTCACCTCCTTCTGAATAATAATTCCCTGTGAAATACTGTCCGTGACAATATTTAACTGCTGTGAAATTCTGTCCGTGATAATATTTCACTGTGAAATACTGAGGGTCTGGATGGTGGTCCTTCATTTCTGTATTCTTTAATTTTTTAGATCATTTTTCTCTATGTCCATGAAAATATTTCTTAATCTAATAATGACTTCCCCGAGAAATCCTATGCAATGAAATTGTGAGCATTTCTGGACTTAAAAAAAAAAAATTCATGAAAAGTATGTATATAACCATAAATTGCTGCATACTGATTTAATTATGCAGGTTTGTTTGTTATTATCAATCAAATAAAACACCACTTTAATGATACCATTATCCAAAATACTAAAAGATTATAGCCTCCCTTTCATTGGACAAAATTTCATGACAATCCGCCTATGAAATATTGTCTCAATAATATACACAAGATATAACCTTGGATAGCCTCCCTATAACAAGACAAAATGTCATACTATCCATCTATGAAATATTGTCTATATATGGACAAAATATCATATGGAAATTTGTCCTTTTCTGGACATTATTTTAAAGATGCAGATAAAATTTCATGATACAACGTCATGAAATATTGTCTTATGGGGGGAAATATTTCATATATATATATAGGACATTATGCTTTACAATTTCACATCCGATCTTTTATGGTAATATTCTATACAAAGTACATTCGTCATTCACCTCAAAAGCTAACCAAAACTTAAAACAGACTTATTCACAAGAGATAAAGTTACGATACTGTTGTCAAGTCATTAAATATGGCATTTTTTGGAATTAATATTGATTCACTCATAGGGTCGGGCATCAAATGTGTCTTATAGACACAACCATTTCAATGTGTACCTCAACAACACTGTACTTACTCTAATGTTGGTAGAACTATATCCATGCGTGTGGCGGGGCATCATCTTTGTTTTAAACTAAATATGTTACAAATCTTAAATGTTTTAAATGTTTCAACTATACATCCATAACTCCAATACCGATGTTGATATTGAAAACAATTATCGTATAGTTCTTGAGAGGCTGTGAAAATGCAAGGTGTAAATGAAAATGTTACAAAAGAAGATCTCGACATGACCATGATTATGATGTTTTTAAAGAAGAGACCGAAATATGATTGCCCTTATATACTTAAGTTTATTTTTACAGTGATTTTTTGGCTTCCATTGAAGTTCGTTTTGAAGAAGAAGTTTATTGTCAAGCGATTTATAGTGCCCCTCTTATTGCAGATTTAATCCCTGGTATATATACAGCTAAACTCCACTTGGTAGATATTTTTTTTACATTTTCTGTAGATACACATGTAAATGTTCGTTATATATTCTCTTTAAATTATCCACATTTTTTTTTTAAATTAACAAGTGAAATGTATCCAACTTAACTCATCCTTAATGAATCCAATATTAATATACCGACGAATCCAGTGACCAATTTTTTTCTTTTTATATTTTGAAAGCCCATTGTAAGAGCTATCTTCTCATATTTTATCTTACAATTCTATAGTTTAGTTTTCTTTCTATCACACAAAATTGTGTTTTCCATGTATAATCTATACAAAACTGACAATTTTGCACAACTTGTACATTTGTAGCTTGAAAAAAGCCCCGTGATTCATACTTTTTATTTTATATTTGAGAAAGCCATGATTTAAAATAGAGAATGGAAACGGGGAACGCGTCAAAGAGACAACAACACGACCAAAGAGCAGAAAACAACCCAAGGCCACCAATGGGTCTACAACACAGCGAGAAAATCCCGCACCCGGAGTCGGGCTTCAGCTGGCCAATAACAAAATAATGTATACTAGTTCGGCGAAAATGGACGTCACATTAAACTCCGAAATATATAAAGGAACCAAAATGAAAAAAACATACAAGACTAACAAAGGCCAGAGGTTCCTGACTTGGGACAGGCGCAAAAATGCGGCTGGGTTAAAATGTTTTGTGAGATCTCAACCCTCCCCTATACCTCTAGTCATTGTGGAATAAACAAACACACAGCAATACGCACAGTAAAATTCAGTTTAAAAGAAGTCCGAGTCCGATGTTAGAATGGGTAACAGAAGACACAAACTAAGCAAAATGACAATAATCAACATAAATTAACAAAGGACTAATAGCAGTTACTGACATGCCAGCTCCAGACCTCAATTAAACTGATTGAAAGATTATGTCTTCATCATATGAAAATCAAGCACAATCCCTCCCGTTAGGGGTTTAGTATCATACCATCATAAAATATACGATACAAGAACATAACCCGTATCATGCCAACGACTGGTTTTAGAATAAATGTGTTATTTCCGATGCATAGACTCTATGAGTGAATCAATACTTATTCCAAAAAATGCCACCTTTATTGACCTGACAACAGTATCTTAACTACGAGTATATCCCTTCTGTATAAGTCTGTTTAAAGGTTTTGTGAATGACGAATTTTTTGTGCATTGTATAGAATATTACCATAAAAGATGGGATGTGAAATTACTGAACGTATAAGATGTCTGCACCTTGATTTATATTTACGAATGATGTCCTTGTACCCTCAGCTTGTACTGATGATAGAATTTAGTAAATGTTTTGACAAGTTTGTGATATCGACTAAAATCCTGGTGTAATAATTTTTCAGTTATTCGTTAAAATCAAATACGGTGTTACATACACGAGCGAATCGAACAAGTTGAAATATATAAACACCTTAAGATGGTGCCAAGGGAACTTCACATCAATTTGTAACTTTTCATTCTATCATGATATGTTATCATGTAACTTTGCATTCTACCATGTCAATTAATATAATTATACATATGCAATAGGTCTTAACCATTTATTGTTAATGAGTTTGTGCCAATAAAAATATTTGTATTTGTATTTGTTCAGCAGGATAAATCTCTTTGGTGTACATACTGAAGTCATCCTTATTGAGAGCCAATATATCATCCAAATATCTAAAAGAATTATTAGATTTTTGTATCAGATGTTGTTTCGATGGGTCCGTTTCGCTGATATCTCATTTTGCAAATAATTAAAAAATTCTATCGATTTTAATATAGACCCCCATCTACCTTAAGATGTCTTTTTACTGTTTTTTTTACATTAGATCTTGCTTTCACATCGACGTTTTTTAAGTGAATACCACGTTTTAAGTGACTAAAGATTTGAAACAATAATTAAATTTTCGTCATCAATAACCCTAATGACTACGTGGCATTTCCGGAAAACATACTTATCATTAACCAGTGTAGGTTTGAATTTCTTATAAATATCTTTGGTGCGTTTTTTACCTTGATATTTTTAACTTATGATTTTAGGTACTAAATGACTCAGTGTAAACAAAAGATTACGAACGTTCAGTGAGTCAGAAAATTAGGCTTACGTGTGATATTTTTGTTATTTAAGTCGAACAGAATCGTATAGTTAATTCATATCGTATATATAAAAGAACAAAATCGTCTAAATGTAAGTTATCTTTCATTTCTTACACTGTAAATTTTAGATTTTTATTTTTCTTCCTTGTTTTATGTACAATCACGGCCACGGGGGTTTGTTACTATTTTGTCGGGTTTATTATCCAGGTAATTTTTTGGGGTTCCCATGGATAGTAAACCCGGCAAATGGATCAACTGAACTTGGCGACCACAATACTCGTATACCAGTATTGTCAACAATACTCGTATACATAAAATGTATAAGTATTGTATACGAGTATTGTCCTAGTATTCTTTATATAGAAAATATTAGAAACATTTATTCATTTTGTATCTCATGATAAAGTGTATTCAAGGGAAATAACCCAAGGACTTTTAATTGATGCACAACAATTTCAGACTCTTTTTGTACTATTTAGTTAGTCCTTAAAAGGACTGGTTGGCCACTTTGGGACTTTCCAGTTTTTATACGACCGCAAAAAATTTTTGTGGTCGTATATTGGTATGACGTTGGCGTCGTTGTCGTCCGAAGACACATTGGTTTTCGCACTCTAACTTTAGTTTAAGTGAATGGATCTCTATGAAATTTTATCACAAGGTTCAATACCACAAAAGGAAGGTTGGGATTGATTTTGGGGGTTATAGTACCAACAGTAAAGGAATAAGGGGCCAAAAAGGGGCCAAAAATAAGCATTTTTGTAACTTCCAGACATAACTTGTGTGTTAGTGTATGGATCTCTCTGACATTGTATCACAAGGTTCCATATCACAAAAGGAATGCTGGGATTGATTTTGGGGGTAATTGCCTCAAAATTTTAGGAATTAGGGGCCAAAAAAGAGGCAAAAAACAAGCATTTTTCTAGTTTCATGACAATAACTTGTGTGTAAGTGTATGGATCTTTCTGAAATTGTACTACAAGGTTCCATATCACAAAGGGAAAGCTGGAATTGAGTTTGGGGGTAATTGCCGAAACGTTTAGGAATTGGGGGCCAAAAAGGGGCCAAAAATAAGCATTTTTCTAGTTTCCAGACAATAACTTGTGTTCAAGTGCACGGATCTCTCTGAAATTGTACTGCAAGGTACCATACCACAAAGGGAAGGCTGGGATTGATGATGGGGTAATTGCCTCAATATTTTAGGAATTAGGGGCCAAAAAGGGGCAAAAAACAAGCATTTTTCTAGTTTCAGGAGAATAACTTGTGTGTAAGTGTATGGATCTTTCTGAAATTGTACTACAAGGTTCCATATCACAAAGGGAAAGCTGGGTTTGAGTTTGGGGGTAATTGCCCTAAACGTTTAGGAATTTGGGGCCAAAAAGGGGCCAAAAAACACATTTTTCTAGTTTCCAGACAATAACTTGTGTTCAAGTGTATGGATCTCTCTGAAATTGTACTGCAAGGTACCATACCACAAAGGGAAGGCTGGGATTGAGTTTGGGGGTGATGAATCATAAGGGGGTTCAAAAAATTTGGGGGGGGATTTTTTTTTTTTTTTCCTTTTTTTTTTCTTTTAAAATTTTCCATTTTAAGTTGGTTATTTCTGATTTATATTTAAAAGCAAATAATAATGATATGGTAGGAGATACACACCAAACAGGATGTGTAAATTATTATATAATAAGTATTGTGCAATAGCAAGAAATTTTCAATTGTACAGTATTGCACAATAGCAAGAAATCTTCAATTGCACAGTATTGCGCAATAGCAAGAAATCTTCAATTGCACAATATTGCGCAATAGCAAGAAATTGGCAATTGTACAGTATTGCGCAATAGCAAGAAATATTTAATTGCACAGTATTGTGCAAAAGAAGATACTTCGTATAAATTGCTTATTTCTTGACCTATTTCAATGGGGTTTTATTCTTGAATTCTTGGGGTTCTTTAATATGCTGAATCTAACGGTATTAAACCGTGTATTTAGTTTTTGGATTTTGGGCCCCGTTTTTAAATTGGTCCACATTGAGGTCCAAAGGGTCCAAAATTAAACTTTGTTTGATTTCATCAAAAATTTAATTATTGGGGTTCTTTGATATGCCGAATCTAACCGTGTATTTAGATTCTTAATTTTTGGTTCCGTTTTCAAATTGGTCTACATTAAGGTCCAAAGGGTCCAAAATTAAACTTAGTTAGATTTTAACAAAAATTGAATTCTTAGGGTTCTTTGATATGCTGAATCTAAACATGTATTTAGATTTTTGATTATGGGCCCAGTTTTCAAGTTGGTCCAAATCGGGGTCCAAAATTAAACTTTGTTTGATTTCAACAAAAATTGAATATATGGGTTCTTTGATATGCTGAATCTTACCATGTATTTAGATTCTTGATTTTTGGGCCCCGTTATCAACTTTGTCCACATTGAGGTCAAAAGGGTCCAAAATTAAACTTTGTTTGATTTCATCAAAAATTGAATTCTTGGGGTTCTTTGATATGCTGAATCTAACCATGTATTTAGATTTTGGATATTGGACCATAATAGGTGAATGTCCAATTTAAAATTTTTAAGTTCTTAGACCACATTCATTCTGTGTCAGAAACCTATGCTGTGTCAAATATTTAATCACAATCCAAATGCAAAGCTGTATCAAGCTTGAATGTTGTGTCCATACTTGCCCCAACTGTTCAGGGTTCGACCTCTGCGGTCGTATCAAACTGCGCCCTGCGGAGCATTTTATTCTTGGATGCGGTGGTATGCCTTCCATTGGTCAGAGTGGACAATGGATCCTGGTCTCACAAAACGTTGTATGATTGGAAGTAGGGTGTCTACATCCCGTTTATCTACTATCTGCATGTATGTGATGTGATACCAAAAACCCACTGCTCTTTACTGGCCCGGCGTCCTCTGTTGTATTTGGCTTTGTGGCAATCATCTATCTCATCTATCTGTACCACGATACCTGGACCACCTAACTGGCATGGCGTATTTAGGAGTTTGGTGGTTCAAATATCTCTGATGTACTCGTGGTACTGGTACACTTGTATGGTTGTCTTTTCAGAAATGCCTATTGTCTTGGCGGCCTTCTTCACCATTGTATCCTGACACAAAAGATACATAAAGTACAATCACTTAGCTAAGGGTATAATGAGCCAGACCTAATGGATCGAGTTGTGAGTCTTTTGGTACACTTTTCGTTAATGCATCTGAAACCATAGCCATCTGTAGTGTCTTTTGTTGGTCGAAAAAACACCAACAAGTTGTTAATAAAACACATCAATGAAAATAACAAACCCTATTGATTTTTTTTTTTTATTTTACAATACTGGTACATTAATTATATACGAGTATTGTTGACAATACTAGTATACGAGTATTGTGGTCGCCAAGTTCAGTTGATCCCGGCAAATAGTCTCAAACCCCTGTGGTACAATCACAATTTTTTTTTACCAACAGTGAGCAGACTGGTGAGTGTATAAAAACGACTTGGAGTGTGTCAAAAGAGCACTCTTAAAGAAAAAAAAAAGTTGGTAAGAGCAATTAGTCCAAATAATTATGACGTCTTGATAGGCTATTTTGATTTTTTCTGTGAAGCCTTCCGTACGACATCGTAGGAAGGCATCACAGAAAAAAATTAAAATAGCCTTTCAAGCCGTCATTTATATACTTATTTGGACTAGAGTTCAATATGAAATTCTTTCTTTAAAATTAAGTCAACTGAGCTCCTGAAGGTAAATATTTTTAGGCAGTGGCTATTTTGACGGCAGCGGCAAAATAGAAAATATGCTATTTTGCTGGCTCTAGGTAAGCGTAAGCCAATTTAGCCAGTAAAAAACGATTTTGTTTACCATGTTTACAGATTTCACCTATTTCAAAGAACTGTCTATTGTTTAAAAAAAAAATGTGATTGATTTTGTTAGATTGTATAATATTTTATTAAGTTTATATAGATTTTGAAATTTGTTTTTTGTCTCGCCTTGACGGAGTCAAAAAGCGAGACATAGGTATGCTGTTTACGGCGGTGGCAGCGGCGTCAACAATGTATTAGTTTTTGATTAGGTCTAGTTCATGGTGAACCACTAGTGGTAGGTCAATGATATTTGGTATGCAGTAGTATAAGCATTGGCACATCTCATTACCATGGAGATTATTTGGCCCAGCCCCCTCAGTCAAGGTCTATTGACTTTGAAACTTTTCATAGTTTACATGTATTAGTTTGTGATTAGGTCAATTTATGGGGAACCACTAGTGGTAGGTCAATGATATTTGGTATGCAGTTGTATAAGCATTGGCATATCTCATTTCCATGGAGATTATTTGGCTCCGCCCCCTTAGTCATGGTCTATAGACTTTGAAAATTTTGCTAAGATAACATGTATTAGTTTGTGATTAGGTCAGTTCAAGGGGAACCATTAGTGGTAGGCCAATGTTAATTGGTGTTCAGTTGTATAAACATTAGCACATCTCATTTCCATGAAGAATATTTGGTCCCGCCCCCTCAGTCATGGTCTATTTACTTTGAAACTTTTGCTTAGTTTACATGTATTAGTTTGTGATTAGATCAGTTTAAGATGAACTGCTAATGTTAAGTTAATGATATTTGGTATGCAAATTTATTGGCATTTACAAGTATCGTTTCCATGGAGATTATATATAGCCCCACCCATGATCATGGTTCATTGACTTTGAAACTTTTACATAGTTTACAAGTTAATGTTTGTGTTTAGGTTTGTTTAAAGGGAAAGACTTATAATAAGTCAATGGTATTTGGTATGCAGTTGTATTAGCATTGGCACATCTCATTCCATGGAGATTGTTTAGCCATGTATCTTCAGTCATGGATCATTGACTTTGAATATTTGCATAACTTACATGTTAAAGTATTGCTATTTTATTTTCAACATTTGCATTATCAAAATTACAAAAAGGCGAGACATATCTCTGTGATAACAGTTTATTTTACAACATAGTTAAAATTACAAATATTTTATTCTTATGCATACATGTAGCATTAGACTGACTGATTTTAAAAGTAATTTCAACTACATGTTTTGATATGATTTCATTGCTACAAATGGATGCTCAATATTTAGATTTTTATTTCTTTATACAAATTCTTATTTTCACTTGGACTCATACATGTTTTCAGTCTTCACGGTTTACCACAGTCCCAGCAGCCCAGGTTTGTGAAATTGCTTTCAGGCCTGTACAAATCATCTCTACAGGCCAACAGAATCTAACTTAAATTTTCCAAATATTTACCTCCAGGTCTGGAGATTCAAAAGTTTATTGTGAAGACTGTTTTTAAACGATTATATGTATCTCAACTATTGTAACTGTTATCTTATTTGTATCTCAAGTATTGTAACTGTTATCTTATTTGTATCTCAAATATTGTAACTGTTATCATGGTTATCTTATTTAACTATATGATTAATAAAGTTTTTCTTTTATGTTGGCAGTGCACATTTTCATAGTACTTTTCAATAGTAAATATTCAAAATCTCTCTTTACAAAGAACAGGCAAAATAACAAATTCATTTTATTGCTGGCGCCGGAAAAATAGCCATTGCTATAGAAATATGCTATTTTGCCAGCTTTCAAATAAGATATTTTAATTAAAGCTGGCAAAATAGCATATTTTCTATTTCATGTATTTTGCCAGTGCCAGCAAAATAGCCACTGCCTATTTTTTAACTGACACTACTATAACATAATTTGTAGTCTCAGATTATAACATGTGGGATTTTACATGTTTGTTTAACTTAATTGTCATCATACTTTTGGTTATCGGATAACCAAATTGACAGGTAATTGTATGCTCCCTTTATTTGCTTAAAATTTGCAGGACATCATGGTATTTTATGAAAAATCCTGAAAAATACACTAAACATGAATGATAAATGGCAAGAAATGTTTTTCATGTTGTTGAAAATTTTCCAGTGCCATAGTTGTTTAATATACATGTGTGGGTTCATGGTCTAGTGGTTAAGACCCAAGGGTGCTCTTAGAACAACAGAGGAATTTACATGTACATTTAGATAGAGAGAAACTAAATATAAAAAATGTTTATTAATATTCTCAAATTAAGTCAACATGGCTGAAACTGTAAACTGGCTCCATACAGGAGTTATTGTCATTGAAAAAGACTATTTACTCAGTTAAACTAAAAATGAAAAACCTATATATATATAATTAGATAAGATAATTTTAAAGGTACAACAAATGTATATTCTGAGGAAGAAAAATATTTAAGCATACATACACATGTACATGTACACATGTAGGTTCACCACTAGGTTGATGAAAATTTTGACTTAATTTTTTTCGGTTTTTGTTTTAGTTTCAGTTCACACACAGATTGATAAGGAAATATAACAAAAGAGGTTCATATAGGTAAGAGAATAATTATAACACACTGTTATGGAATTCATCAGCATTGTTATATTTTGTGGGATTGTTTTCCTAATCTGGTACTTCTGTGGTGGATCAAGTAACCAGTCTAAAAGAGCAACAGACAAAAACAATAGCAGCACAAATAAACTGTATCCGGATTTGTCAAGTCTACAGAAAAGCAAAGCAAATATGCAACACAACAGTATATGGAACATATTTGGTGGTGGAGGATATGATTATAATGCCATTATGGACAAGTTTACTTCTCTGGAGGAGGTACAAAATGCCATCAGACAAGCAGGATTAGAATCGTGTAATTTGATTTTTGGTAAGTGTAAATTTTTTCATGGAAAGATTCTTTAACATGTTTAAGAGGATTTGAAAATTTAAGAAAAACCATTGATAATCTGTATTAATGGCCAAATTAATATATTGCATGTATCAAGTGTATACACACAAGTTTGAGCAATCAGACTGTTAAATGTGTATCAGTCAAACTAGGATTTTTATGGTAATTTTTGAACAAATGTAATTTTAAGCTATGTCAATTTTGAGTTATAATAAATGTCATATACCAGTATATTTACATGTACATGTTTCAAAAGTTCACTTTTGAAACATGTACAATGTACATGTAAATATACTGGTATATGACATTTATTTTATTAATCTTCAAAATGCATGTACATGTTTATGAGCTGTACAATGTACATACAATGTACATGTATACATTTAAAGCACCATGTTTGACAAGCATGATATTAAAAAGAAAAGAAATTTACAAACAAGATTTGGCTACTCTGTTTGATATGTTTAAGAAGAAATTATTAAAGTAAAACCAAGCATGTTAATGATTTTTATTTATTTTGTTACAAAACAAACTTATTGTAAATTTTGAAAATTAATGTGTGCATTTACAATTGCAAACCATTGACCACTGCCAAGAATGTGAGGCCTAATAAATGTGATTGCAACAAATTATGAAGAAAAGTCACTTCTGAAATTATGACTGCAAGTATTTATTAATGGGAACCTGATACTGTGGCATTTTTGGCATTAGTAAAAACATCACAATAGTTTTTGAATTTACACCAGATTACAGTAATTTTAATTTGTAAGACTATAGATGATAATTGCATTATAGGAATGGATTATACAGCAAGCAATCTTCAACAGGGCATGAGATCATTTGGAGGCAGATCATTACATCAAATTGTTCCTTATGAAATGAACCCTTATCAAAGAGTATGTTTAGATGACAAATATAAATATTTATTGCATGTAAATGTACCTATAATCCTATTTAGACAACATTGATTGTGAAAACTTCATTTCATGCTTAAATGTTTATAAAAAACTTGATGGATACATTAATTTAGACTATCATTGTAGTATACATTAATGCATGTGTTGTGGCAGCTTCTTATAAATATAATTTTGATTATTTGGCTACATATTCTTGTATAAAAATAAAAAAATATATAGATATAATTTATATGTAAAAAAGTGTATAAAGTCACGTTGATAAATCTATAAATAGAAATGAAGTTTACACAATCAGCTTAGATTGTAAAATTTAACATATAAACTCTGAATCTGTTGTATTGCATTTTACACTGTGCATAAAGGACTAACAACAAATCTTATTACTATTTTCATAGGAATAGACTATACTGTCAGCAACTTACATCAAGGTCGTTCCACTTTTGGGGGTAACAGCCTACATGCAATTGAACCAAGATTTATGAACCCTTATCAACAGGTAAACAAAATTTTAATTTCATTATTGCATGTATGGTTGTTCCAGAAACTTGGTGCAGTTTGTTAGACAGTTAATAACAAACCGAAATAAAAGTTGCCAATCAAAACTTGAAAAACAATTTAAAATTTCATTAGTTTCAAATCTTAAATTTTCTTTCAGACAAATTGGATTGGTAGATTCTGTAAAAATAAAAGTTGATGGAATTTTCATTAACATGATCATTACGATTCACTGACTTTTAATTGAATTTTACCCTATGATGTCACTTTTAATATGTTATTTTTACCTCTAATATACCTACATTATATCTACAAGTGCACAAGATTTAAGGCTTGAATTGAAGATTTAAAAAAATAATAATTCTTTCAAGTCTTGCAGTATAATACTTCCATTATATACGTAATATTATATATTTTCTACATCTTGAATTATAATAAAATATGAATATTTAGTGAAGTTGGTACTCTGTCTTATTCAGCTGTAAATGTCCATGTATTATGGTTAATAATATTCTTCATTAAGTCAACATTTTGTTTTCCAGACATTATCTTTTGAGCTACAAATCAGATGTTCTCATGTGACATTGGTTGACAATATTCATGATATAAATATCTCTTTAGTGTACAATTGATTGCCTTTGTCTTTATGAATTTGATGTTGATTACAGGATTTTTGTATAGTTTAGATGTTAAATTTATTCACTACTTGGATGACTTAGAGTTTGAGGTTTAGCTATTGTTGAAGACCAATCATGTACATTAACCTCCAGCTGTCTTTTTTGTGTTGTGTTGTTTCATTGTTGTCTTATTGACAGACACTAATCGTCTCCTTTTATTCTTACATGTTGATTGAAAGAAATACATGTATGCTATAAACTTTTAAAAAGAAAAATATCAAGTATTTGTCAGAACTTTGATCCCAATTTTTACACCAGTAAATAATTAATGGCATACATTTATAGGTGATCTGTATCCTTGGAGAAACATTAGAACCATTTGATGATGATGGTATCATTCCAGCCTTTGGATTTGGGGATGCATCTACAAAAGATAGATCAGTCTTTTCATTCAGGTCTCAGGTATGCATAATCATTAAATTATTAACTTCAAAGTTAATAGATATGAAATATCTTATGAAATTTTGTCATATCATATTCCTAATCTGTTTTAAACAACACATTCTTTAGCTCTTGTTGCCCAAGTTGCTTGTGGCAGTGACTCCCCACTTTTGTGTTTCAGATTTTTATACGACTGCAAAAAAATTTTTGTGGTCGTATATTGGTATGACGTTGGCGTCGTCGTCGTCGTCGTCGTCGTCCGGCGTCGTCGTCCGAATACACATTAGTTTTCGCACTCTAACTTTAGTTTAAGTGAATGGATCTCATTGAAATTTTACCATAAGGTTCAATACCACAAAAGGAAGGTGGGGATTGATTTTGGGGGTTATGGTACTAACAGTTAAGGAATTAGGGGCCAAAAGGGGCCAAAAATAAGCATTTTTGTAACTTCCAGACATAACTTGTGTGTAAGTGTACGGATCTCTCTGACATTGTACCACAAGGTTCCATATCACAAAGGGAATGCTGGGATTGATTTTGGGGGTAATTGTCTCCAAATTTTAGGAATTAGGGGCCAAAAAGGGGCAAAAAACAAGCATTTTTCTAGTTTCATGACAATAACTTGTTTGTAAGTGTATGGATTTTTATGAAATTGTACTACAAGGTTCCATATCACAAAGGGAATACTGGGATTGATTTTTGGGGTAATTTCCTCCAAATATTAGGAATTAGGGGCCAAAAAGGGGCAAAAAACAAGCATTTTTCTAGTTTCATGACAATAACTTGTTTGTAAGTGTATGGATCTTTATGAAATTGTACTACAAGGTTCCATATCACAAAGGGAAGGCTGGGATTGATTTTGGGGGTTTTCCCTCAAAATTTTAGTAATTAGGGGCCATAAAAGGGCAAAAAAACATGCATTTTTCTAGTTTCAGGACAATAACTTGTGTGTAAGTGTATGGATCTTTATGAAATTGTACTGCAAGGTTCCATATCACAAAGGGAAAGCTGGAATTGAGTTTGGGGGTAATTGCCCTAAACGTTTAGGAATTTGGGGCCAAAAAGGGGCCAAAAAACAAGCATTTTTCTAGTTTCCAGACAATAACTTGTGTTCAAGTGTATGAATCTCTCTGAAATTGTACTGCAAGGTACCATACCACAAAGGGAAAGCTGGGATTGAGTTTGGGGGCGATGAATCATAAGGGGGTTCAAAAAATTGGGGGGGGGGGATTTTTTTTTTCCTTTTTTTTCTTTAACATTTTCCATTTTAAATTGGTTATTTCTGATTTATATATAAAAGCAAATAATAATGATATGGTTTGAATAGGCATACATGTGAACCTCCCGACGGGAGTACAATAATCCTGTTTTCAGGGGTCTCCTCCCCCCCTCCCGTTGAAAAAATCCCGTGTATGAAATTTTTCATGAATGAAAAATTTCTGCCCAACATAACATCTCAGGCATCTGGTGTAACTGACATTACCTGAAGTTATATTTTACCTGTAAATCAATTAACATGCATAATTATATGGCTTCACTTGTCAGCTTGGGTGTCAAACATACTGGTAAGCAACGATTTTTACCTCAGGCTAACTGCCGTTGTGTAACAAAAACTGTGTATTTATTGGGTTACTTCCCTTGATTTATCCTGTTTTAAGTTACTTTCCTTTTAATAATGAAAATTTTTAAAAGAATATAAATAAAATATAAATTGAACAAATAATCATAAAAGGATGGTTATTAAATGATTTTAAATGTCTTAGGACAAATAAAAAAATAATAATTTGAAAATTATTTGAGGATTCTATACTTCCTTTTAAGGCTTAAATTGAAATTTATATAATAACTATGACCCTAACTTTACAGATAGAATGAATTTCTGAGTTTGCAAATAAAAACTATTTGCAAGAGAAAAAAAAAAAAATAAAAACTATTTGCAGACAGCTAAACAAATGTTCTGGTTGCAATGATTGTTTTACAGAATATGAAGTAAAAAATTTAAAGAACATACTGGAAAAAACCAATGTTAGATTGAACATGTAGAATATAAAGATGGAGAAACTTTATAAGTACAAGGGTACTATAAACATAATAAATTGGTTGGAAAGTTGAAGAAAACACACTTTAAAAGACCATTTTTACAGCACACGGTTACATTTACAACAAAATTAATGTCGATTAAAAACCTCCTGATCTGAGTCCTAATCTCCTGACCAAAATTTCCCAATCTCCTGATCTGAGTTTCACAGTCCATCACATGTATGAATAGGTAAATTGAAAATTTTTAAGTTCTTAGACCACTTTCATTCTGTGTCAGAAACCTATGCTGTGTCAAATATTTAATTACAATCCAAATTCAGTGCTGTATCAAGCTTGAATGTTGTGTCCATACTTGCCCCAACTGTTCAGGGTACGACCTCTGCGGTCGTATCAAGCTGCGCCCCAGCGGAGCATTTTATTTTTTTTAAATTTCCTTAAATGGGGCAAGCTACCACTCTACATAATAAGAAAGAGGGCAGCACATATAGACTACAGTTAGCAGTTGGTAGCCCCATTTTAACAAAACTCAAGTTTAATTATTATTCATTGGGTACTTCTTGTATTTTTTGGGTACAGGTGACCCATGAATTTGAATATTCAACAAAATACATTTTTTTTGTACATGTAACTTGGTTGTAATAAAACAACATGTGAGAATCCACAAATTACAGTTTTTCCTCAATCATTTATAATTAGAAACAACAAAATTAAATGAATCGACAGTATTTTTAATGTTTTCTACCTTCTGCCAAAATTATAATAGAAGTTAAGTCAGTTACCAAAAAATAAGGTCAAACACACTTTGAGGGACAGCCTGAAAAATAGGACCTTGTACCTTTATTTACAAGTTGCAACCCCTGATTATATGTATTGATATATTACAAAAAGAGAGGTGGAAGATGCCAAGATAAAACTTGTAAAAAGGAAGACAAACTGGCAAGGCCATGACAAAAAGGGGGAAAAAAACAACAAAAAATAAGCTAGTCTACAAAACACTGCATAGAAAACTAAAGACTGTGCAACACAAACCCTTACCAAAAACGTGAGGTGGTCTCAGATTCCCTGGGTTAGCAGGTCCTGCTCCCCTTGTGGCACCCGTCATGTTACATGTTACAACAATGGCAATAAAGCATTTTTTACTTGAAAATTATGTCACTCGACTTTCTTTCCAGGTTTGAAAGGAAAAAAATAATTACTTGGAATATAAATGACATAAATACTGTTACAGTATTTATTCTTTATGAATGATACATAAAGAATAAATATAGATTCTACCACTGCATCGAGTGTGATACGATATTTATCCACTCAAGACAGTTAAATTTTCAAATTTAAAACGCGAGGCTTGCCGAGCGTTTTAAATATATAAAATTTAACTGTCGAGAGTGGATAAATATCGTATTACACAAGATTTGGTGGTGGAATCTGTTTCTCTAATGATTTTCAAACAATACGCAGGCAAATTTATTCCTTTTTTTCGAATGATCTGCAAAAAGATGTGTTCTTTCTATGTGACGTCATCAGGCATGGTCGCCTTTTTTCATGCCGTCACAATAGGAAATTCAGAGGAAAGCAAGAAAATTCGACGTCATAATCGGATTTTAACCAATGAAGAACTGAGATCAAAAGAACCACACGTTGATTAAATTTTTTTTATACAATGGGTGCAGAAAGGGATAAATTAACGAAGAATAAGAGAAACAAAATTACAATTAAGGTGTTTCCTATTAAAAAAGACAATTTGGTGTATGATAATAATCATTTATACATTTACTAATCAATTTTACTTTTTTCAGGGGTACTGTAATGGTTTCCATGATGTATTAGATGCTTATAACCAACTAACACCAAATGTGAGGATGAGTGGACCAACAAGTTTTGCTCCATTGATACGTCAGGCAATAGATACTGTGAAAAAAACTAAATCTGTAAGTTTTTTTATACATTATTATACAAATGTATATAGGTTTAAATGACAAGTTTTTGGATAGGTGATCATACCAAAACATCTATTAGAAAATGTGGACCCAAAGAATCAACTGACCAAATTGTGAAAAAAAAATATTTGTTAAACAAAGGAGAATACATGTAGTTTATTATAAGGAATATTTTAATATATGAAAATATGAAATGTAAAATTTGGGAAAATATGTTCCATAAACTCAATAAAGAAATGTACAGACCCTTAATAGGTTTGAAAACATTCAGTAATATTTCAAGGATCTGGGTTGAAAAACTGCAGGAAACATTGATTAAACAAAGTGGTACTGTCATTTAAAAATTTGTCTGAAAACTGACTAAGTTCTCAAGTCTGGACAAATATGAATATGTTCTGTTCACAATTTCCCCATTAGCACATTGGTTACAAAACAGCCTTCAACAATGAGCAAAATCCGTATGGAATGTGTAGATATAAAGGCACTGGGATGTCAAAATGTAAAAAAATTAACATTGTCAAAATTAAAAGTACAAATCAATAAATGTTTTCATGAATTTACAAGTGTTTACACTACTGCTTCCTTTATAAAACTCATAAAGAAAAATATTAATAAAAATGCTTACACTGTACAAAATATATTTGAAAAACAATCTGATTTTATTGGAGCAATTAATCTTAGATATACATAAAACTCATCAATAAATATTAATATTTTTATATTTATTTTTTTCCAGTATCACATACTTGTGATTGTTGCAGATGGACAAGTGACCAACGAAAGGGAGACAATTGATGCAATTGTGGAAGCCTCAAGATGGCCATTGTCAATTGTAATGGTTGGTGTTGGAGATGGACCCTGGGATACTATGGAACAGTTTGATGACAGAATTCCTGCACGAAAGTTTGACAATTTTCAGTTTGTTGAATTTCACAAAATAATGTCCACAGCTAGAAACCCTCAAGCTGCATTTGCTCTTCATGCTTTAATGGAAATTCCAGACCAGTATAAACTTGTCAAAAAGAATGGTCTTTTAAATTTTTGATCATGTTTAGATTTTTTAGAGAACAGAATGTAGAAATATGTTTATTAATGCATTATTCTCTATGTCTTTTAATCAAAATCAAAAAGTGTTTTGAACTCGCTTCATTGTTAGTGAAAGAAAGAAAGATGTGAGTGAATAAGCAATACAAATGAATGATAAGATTATTTATCATGCATAGAGTTATGTTGATTAGTTCATATATTGGAAAAACAGTGAAATGTGTAGGGTAGCCTTGGATCCTGGGCCAATCTGTGTTATCTGTCTTAAGGGTCAGGTTGTGTAGAATTGATTCAGGGCTATTTGGCCTTGAATCTATCTTGCATGTGTGAAATAAGACACCAATTAACAAATGTATAAGAATGCACAATATCAAAATAAAAATTATTTGTGTTAATAGATTTTCATGATTTTTTTAATGAAAAAAGAGATCCAAGATTGACATATTCACTACTATTTATATTTGTGTTATTTTTGTCTCGCAATAGTCCCATAACTAAATTGGTCTCGAAAATTGGTTGTTTAATAGTAAATTAAACTTAAACATGCCTAAATGTGTTATGTCTGGCACTACTACAGAATTAGGATTCTCAGCTATAGTACAGCACTAGATGTTGATTGATTGCATATGTGAATTTTATATGTATCATATTTAACTTAACATTTGACCTCAAATTGATAATGACAAATATTTTTGTACCATACATGTTTTATATGGATTTAGCTTTTGTTTGTGATGAAAACTATATATTTTTATATGATAATTTTTTTGTAAGAAAATTAAAAAAAAAGAGTTTGTTACTCTGTTATTGCTGATGTGTAACTATTTGGCCATATGTCAAAAGAGAGGAATATTAGTCCATGCTGTCACTCTGCAGATTTTTTTTATGTTTCTTGCTTTAATAGTGTTCATAATTTCATTTGGAAAATTTTTCACACTTGATTCCAGTGCCTTAAGATATCATCTAGAGTGGGATTTAGTCCTTTTTGGGGTATATAATGCACAAAGTGCAATTATTATCCATATTACATCCGGCTATTATACAATTTTAGCCTTTGTATGAGGTCTATACAAGGATATATCGACCTGAAAGAAGTATATCAACTGAAGGCTACAATTGTTATATTATTATTTTCAATGCGCTGCATTTTGTGGACAAAAGGAAATAATAATTCAAAATCATGCCTACCGTTAAAAGGCTTGTATAGTCCGCGGTTTTATTCTCCAAAACTGAACCTGCCAGACAGGGGTGCGGACTATAGAGTACAATAAGCAAGAAATAAGAGAAAAAATTAAATTTCACTAGGTGGTTTGTTTACGTTCCGCCATGTTTGTTTGATATTGTAGAGGGCGCTCTTATCATTTTTCAAACTAATAATTTTACCTAATCCATATTAATAAGTTATTTTTATTCAATATCATATTAATACTGATAAATTAAAAAATTAAATGCTTCATCACAATTTTCTCGTTTCTTTTAATGCATTGCTTAAAATAAACTGGTATCTTCTTGAATGAAACGGTACAAAAAAAGTATAAAAGACAACAGTAAACCAGCTTCCGAAGTGTAAATTATGAATCGTAATTGGGTATTATTCGTTCCATTTTGGTGTTTCATACTGACAAATATGTTTTGTATTAGCTTAAGACCCTTCAAACATTAATATAATAGATATATTGAACACTGTTTTACATAAGGATGGAACTGTTTTACTTTCAAAGTCGTATTACAGTGATATCTATTATGTACAGATTTCGACTCTCACCGTTTTTTTTTCTACTTTTACACGTGCTTTTCAAACTTCCGGTTTAAACATAAACAAGTTTCTAAATTTTTTTTCTGTGATTTAGACTTATTTTAACAATCGTGAAGTGTTCTAGAATCATTTGCAAGCAGTTTCAGCTTCTGTTTGATGATGGAAAACAGGTTTTTCCGAGAAAATACCGCAAGCGACCACACACGATTTGAAATTACCGGAGTTTCATTAGACCTTTTCTGACAGTTACTAAAAGTTTTTTTACCTGAAATTTCGTGGGGAGAAGGGGGTGCGGACTATGTACCAGTTAGAACTATACATGCCAGATTACGGTAAATATGTTATTTGCTAATTACAATGCAGTGTTTGATTTAAGATCACAATGAAATTGAAAGCAACCCTTATTGCCTTGGTGCTCACAGATCATAAAGAATTTAGGCCATTTGATGGCTTGAAGAAGTCTTCTATCTTTGAAAGTTCTTCTTAGGTAGCTGCTCAAAATATATTTCTATATGTAATGTCTCTGAAGAACGGCATTTAAGGCAAATATGTACTGCAGTCAAAAAGTTGTACAGTGATTCATGTTTCACAAGTCTGAAGATGTCCATTTTTGTCGAGCCTGCGACTTTTGTCGCAGAAAGCTCGACATAGGGATAGTGATCCGGCGGTGGCGGCGTTAGTTAACTTCTTAAAAGCTTTATATTTTAGAAGGTGGAAGACCTGGATGCTGGATGCCTCATGTTACGAAGTTTCCGTCAGTCACATGTCCAATGTCCTTGACCTCATTTTCATGGTTCAGTGACTACTTGAAAAAAATTTTTTTTTGTAATTTTAAATTCTCTCTTATTATAAGTACTAGGATAACTATATTTGGTATGTGCGTACCTTGCAAGGTCCTCATGCCCGTCAGACAGTTTTCACTTGACCTCGACCTCATTTCATGGATCAGTGAACAAGGTTAAGTTTTCGTGGTCAAGTCCATATCTCAGATACTATAAGCAATAGGTCTAGTATATTCGGTGTATGGAAGGACTGTAAGGTGTACATGTCCAACTGGCAGGTGTCATCTGACCTTGACCTCATTTTCATGGTTCAGTGGTTATAGTTAAGTTTTTGTGTTTTGGTCTGTTTTTCTTATACTGTATGCAATAGGTCTACTATATTTGGTGTATGGAATGATTGTAAGGTGTACATGTCTAGCTGGCAGGTGTCATCTGACCTTGACCTCATTTTCATGGTTCAGTGGTCAAAGTTAAGTTTTTGAGTTTTGGTCTTTCTTTCTAATACTGCATGCAATAGGTCAGCTATATTTGGTGTATGGAATGATTGTAAGGTGTACATGTCTAGCTGGCAGGTGTCATCTTACCTTGACCTCATTTTCATGGTTCAGTGGTCAAAGTTAAGTTTTTGAGTTTTGGTCTTTTTTTCTAATACTATATGCAATAGTTCAACTATATTTGGTGTATGGAAATATTTTATGATCTATATGTCAGTCACGCAGGTTTTATTTGACCTTGACCTCATTTTCAAGGTTCATTGCTCAGTGTTAAGTTTTTGTGTTTTTGTCTGTTTTTCTTAAACTATAAGCAATAGGTCAACTATATTTGTTGTATGGAAGAATTGTTAGCTGTACATGCCTGCCTAGCATGGTTCATCTGACCTTGACCTTATTTTCATGGTTCATTGGTCAATGTTTAGTTTACTTGGTTAATGTTAAGTTTATGTGACAGTTGTAATAAAGCTTTATATTTAGGACTATCAACATAATATCAATGATTAGTAAAGAAGGCGAGACATTTCAGCGTGTGCACTCTTGTCTTAAACTATAAGCAAAAGGTCAACTATATTTGTTGTATGGAAGAATTGTTAGCTGTACATGCCTGCCTGGCATGGTTCATCTGACCTTGACCTTATTTTCATGGTTCATTGGTCAATGTTTAGTTTTCTTGGTTAATGTTTAGTTTATGTGACAGTTGTAATAAAGCTTTATATTAAGGACTATCAACATAATATCAGTGATTAGTAAAGAAGGCGAGACATTTCAGCGTGTGCACTCTTGTCTGTTATGTTTGTAGATATTGGGCCATTTTAAGTGAAATAGAAAGTTACAGAAGGTGTTCACATTTCATTTCTGGTGATATACTTTTCATAGAATTATAGCCCTTTGAAGTTGGAAGATCCAGATTATCGCTATGTTTTATATTTTGCTTTAAAATTTCTTAAAGACTTCACCACTCAACAATTTATAAATCTTAATCATATATCATTAATTTATTCAACTAAGTTCATTAAAACTGGGTTACCTTTAACTTCATATTAAGTCAACCAAAGCTTTACTTAAAACCTTCATCCATACTGCTGAACTCTTTTACCTGGACCTCATTGCCATGGCTGACTAAATATCTACATTTTCATTTATCAATTATATTTTTGTGTACCTGTTATAAAATATACATGCAACTATGGCAAAGCTCTCTGACTTTCCATAATATCTCATTTTCATAGTTCACTGGTTGACTTTCAGTTTTTTTTTTGTGCATAAAAAATACCATTTGAAGACGGACCAAATTTTAGATGCCTTAATGTCCTGAGATTAAAATTTTAAAATTCCATACTTTTTTGCTGTTTTATTTGTTTGTTGTTAAATATAATATTATTTTTGTATAATATTTATTTTTGCCATTCTGCATTCCAGCTAGAAACTTTTTAGTGAGGATACATGATGATTTTTTTAAATGATATATGTTTTATGTAACTTCGCAGGAAGAACATCAATGCATTTTTTTAATTATTAAGAATCAGTTCTGTACAAAGAAATCAAACTGACAATTAGCATTTTAAAATAATTAATTGGTAAGTTGCACACACTTAATTTAGTGATAACTAATGTAATAGTCAATATATGATTTTGCAATATTTTTCTAACAGAGTTACTTAGTTTGGTTAATTCACTAAAAGTAAAATGCTGCCTGATGTCATCACCAATCCCAGTTTTTAAGCATAAAATTTAAATATTAGCCAAACCTGGATGGCACTATTTGATTGTGATGTCTTTATAGTGAAGTCATAAGGGAGATTTGTCAGTTTCTTTGCAAAATAGGGTAGTTGTTAGAAATATTTGGCTAAATTAACATAGAGCCAAGCGTAGTCCAATATAACTTGTTGCATGTCAAAAGATAAAAATGAAATACACTTACTGTTTAAATATCTTTTGGAGAGAATGTTGTGCTCTGTATTATTTCTAAACATGTACTAGTCAAATAGTTGAGATTTTGTCTACTTTCCTCATTTTACTGAATTTCCTGTCATGGCTGTATAACAAATGAAAAGGGTATACTTTTTAACCAAAGGTCTCTTGTGGAGAGTTGTCTCATTGGCAATCATACCACATCTTCTTTTTATGATGATTTTATCAAGGTACATATATGCAACATTAATTTGAAAAAATTGGATATTGTTTGAAATATATTTGATTTCAGGGACAATTTGGCCCAAAAGCATACCTTGTCTTCTGGTCTAATGTTGATAAAATAAATTATATTGTTTTTCCATTTAAAAATAAATGGTTTTCCATTTATAATAATTTAACCAGTTATCTGTATATTTAGATAATGTTATATGTTTGTAAAAAAGTTTGTTAATGAAATGTTAAATAAATATTTTGAAAAATAACATTATGTTAATTTTTTTTATTCATGCACCTGAGATCACCCCCAGTTTTTGGTGGGGTTCGTGTTGCTCAGTCTTTGGTTTTCTATGTTGTGTTTTGTGTACTGTTGTTTGTCTGTTTGTCATTTTCTTTTTTTAAGCCATGTCGTCTGTTTATTTTTGACTACGAGTTTGAATATCCGTTTGGTATCCTTCGCCTCTCTTTTACTCCTTTCTTATAATTTAAGCAACAGTAGTTTACCAATGTTTATATCTCATAAATCAATTAAGATGATACAAATCAAGGTAACAAACAAAAACTGAGGGAATCTCATGATTTAGGAAAGTGGGTGAGTTGACTGGGATAGGTAGGCCTCCTGCTATGTATGCATCACCAGCCATATGGTATATATATTAGATCAGGGAGGTGAGAGGAACGTTAAATTTTTGTTGTTCTGTCACACTTGTTGGTCACAATTTGACTTCTGATCAAAATTTACACACACACATTTTTTGAATGTTAATTTGTTTTGGTAGATTTGACATTTACTGTTCAAAGGTGTGATCTTTGTAAATAGAGGGTTTATCCCAAGATTATCTTACTCGAGATAACATTAAGGCTAAATGATTATATTTGAATATTAGTTTATATCCTTGTTGACTTTAAAGCCAAGACATAAGGGAGCTACTTTATAGGGGAAAGGGGGGGGGGGGGGGGGGGGCAGGATGAAAAACTTGGTATTGGCAAAAAAAAAAAGCAGGATGACAATTTATGTAAAAAAAGTCAGGATAAACTAACAAAAAAAAAAGGCAGGACCGAATAAAGTGAAAAATAAAAAGGCAGGACAGAGATTACAACTAAAAAAAAAATGCAGGACAAAATTTTTCATCTTTAGTGCACTTACACTTAACAGAGTTTGTCTTTGGTGTCCCTCCAAAAAACTATTTCGCAAACTGTTTCAAAAATCTTCTCCTCTGAAACTACTGGGCCAGATACCTTCAAACTTTAACTAAATGTTCCTTAGGGTATCTTGTTTATAAATTGTATCCGTAGTTTTGATCCATCGACAAACATGGCCGCCATGGCTAAAAATACATAAGGGTCAAATGCAGTTTTTGGCTTATATCTCAAAAACTAAATCTTTTAGAGCAAATGTGACATCGGGTAAAATTGTTTAATTGGTCAAAATCTATCGGCCCTGAAATTGTCAGACGAATCGAACAACCCATTGTTGGGTTGCTGCCACCGAATTGGTAGTTTTAACAAAATTTTGCAGTTTTTTGTTATTATTTTTGAATATTATTATAGATATATATAAACTGTAAGCAGCAATAATGTTCAGCAAAGTAAGATCTACAAAAAAGTTTATATGATCAAAATTGTCAATTGACCCCTTAAGGAGTTATTGTCCTTTAAAGACAATTTTACACAATTTGTTCATCAAGTTTGCTAACATTTAAAAATCTTTTCTCTGAAATACAGGTGAGCGATTCAGGCTCTTGAGAGCCTCTTGTTTAACTAAAAACATGTTCCTTATTACCCTAAACAATAATATATTTCCAAAGGTAAATATAGGCTTGAATTTGACTTAGAAAACAATCTTTGTTTTAATGAAGAAAGACTATAAATGTTTGCTCTTTTACACACGTAAACATACTCTATTGTAGAATTATTGATTAAACTGCACATTTGTAATTAAATGAAAGAAAGTGCGGATTGTATGTCCTGCTAGGGTTGGTTTAATATGATTATATATGCATCAAATAAACAATTTCTTTAATATTAACAAAATGTTTACCCTTTTAAATCAAAATTAAATGAATAAAGTGTAGAACAAGTCTCAATTGTAATGATAAATAAATTGCTTGTTTATATTTTATAGATTATTACCTAAAATGTTTGGTGTTATAAGATATTAAAAAAAGTCTTAATGATTTATTTTATGTATAGAAAAAGAGAGACGAAATTTACCAAAGGGATAATCAACTTCATAAGTCGAAAACGAACTGACAACGACATGGCAAAAAAGAAAAACGACCAAAAGAAAAACAACATTATACAAAACATAACATAGAAGACAAAATACTGAGCAATATGAACCTAACCAAAGACCGGAGGTGATTTCAGGTGCTCAGGAAGGGTAAGCAGATCCTGCTTCACACGTGCTGTCCGTCGTGTTGCTCATGTAAGTACAAACTTGGTGACAAGTCTAATTCGGTTGTTTATATTCGAGGAAAAGAAGACGGGATTGTGGCTACGACAATTGGAACATATCTATTGTCATCTGTGAAACAGATATCCCGTAACGATCAATAAACTCGTGATGGTGTCCGTAAAATATTTGAAGGGATGTTTTTAACTTCACCATTTGGAACTTTTTATTTAAAACCTTCCTTGTAAGAAGCAACCTTCTATCAAGGTAATCATGATAGGAAATGCAAGCTCTGGAATATCGTATCAACTTGGAGATAAAAATGCATTGTCTGTTGGTTAATGCCTGAAAATATTATGCATATCAGTCAAAAATTTTTGTTTATAAAAGATAACTATTCCTCTCGCGCGAAATCAATGTTTTATTTTAGTGATAATGTTTTGTTTTAGCCAATCTAAACTGTTTGCAATCTGCTGTGATTTCTCAATTAAAATAAGATTTGACATGGTTCTTGGTTCAATTAGATCTCATCTCTTGAAGCTATAATCCTTAACTAGCTTTAATGATAAGCCAGTGTTAACAGATCCCACATACGATACTGAATGGTTGCTAACCATGTGACCTACCGAATAAGACTGTTTACCGGGTTTGTACTAACATGAGCAATACGACGGGTGCCACATGTGGAGCAGGATCTGCTTACTCTTCCGGAGCACCTGATATCACCCCCAGTTTTTGGTTGGGTTCGTGTTGCTTACTCTTTAGTTTTCTATCTTGTGTTTTGTGTACTGTTGTTTGTCTGTGTGTCTTTTTCTTTTTTAGCCATGGCCTTGTCAGTTTATTTTCGATTTATGATTTTGAATGTCCCTCTGGTATCTTTCGCCCCTCTTGCTTTTCCTTGCTAAACAATACATCTATATTTGTAAATATGTATCAAACAGCGTATATGTTTCTTTTTTACGAACCTTCAAATATGTAAGATAATTGGATTTAACAAACCATGTGCCCTTTAGCGAACGGACAGACAGAAAGGCAGAGGCGGATTAGGGGGGGGGGGGGGTAGAGGGGGCCCGGTTAATGCATAGACCTTTTTACATGTCCCACTTCAAACGTTCCTTAGTTTAGGGGCGGGCTCCCCCTTTTTAAAAATCCTGGATCCGCATCGGAAAGCGCTGCGACAATATTCCCGAGGTTTTTTAGCGGTGGCATACAAAACAGACATATATAACCCTCTACAATACCAATATTAGGAATCATTGCAATTCTATACTAGCAAATTAACGTCGTATACGCCTTGCCTAATTTAAAATATTATGAATCGGTAATAAAAAAAAGGCGTAAGATACCAAGGGGACAATCAAAACTAAGAAGTGAGATAAACTGACAACCGTATGGCAGAAAAGAAAAACGATGAAAACACAAACAAGTTCAGAGAACGCTACGTTAAAAATTCTACAAAGGGTAAGTGTCTTGATCAATTATGTAAAAACCATAAACCACTTTCCCCAGTGATATGATCAAAGGTGTTTTCATTTATAATGTAGTTGAGGCTTAATGAAGACAACCGACCGCATGTTTCTTCTTCCATAAACAATGTTTTATTTCAAAATGTTAATAATTAGTTTGAAATTAACTTTTTATACCAATCTTTTTTATGGAATAAGGACTATACTTTTTGTTCTTTGACATATAAACATGCTCTTTTTTGGTGTAATGGATTAAACTGCAACGTTGTTTGATAAAATTAAAGAAAGTGCGACATGTGTGTCAAGCTGGGCGTTGTAGAGTTTCATTATTTATGCATGAAATAAACAATTGCATACAAACAAGATGTGTACCATTGAAACTCAAAACAAAAAGACACGTAGAGAAAAGATCTGTATTGTGATTGTAAAAAAGGATTGTTTATATTAAACGCATCACGGACCTTAATGTTTATTTGTATAAAATTAAATAAAATTTAGAATGAAAGATGTACAAAAACAATTATTCATTAAACATGTTAAATGCAAACTGCAAATTTTCGTTTGGTTAATGAATCAAAACGAAATGCATTTAAACTAACGTCATCCTATTGGCCTTTTTAACTTGCTTTATTCGAGCGTCACTGGTGGGTCTTTTGTAGACAAAACTCGTTTGTCGTACAAAATTTTAAGCCTGAGTGGTATCTGTGATGAGTTTATTTATTTACCGTCGTTTTTGTCTCTCATCGACAAAGTCGAAAAAGCGAGACTAAGCAATGCTGTTTCGAGCGGAGGTGATGGCGGCGTCAAAAATGTATCTGTGATTAGGTCAAGTTTATAGGGAACCACAAATGGTAGGTTAATGATATTAGGTATGCAGTTGTTTTAGCATTAGTACATCTCATTTCTATGGCGATTATTTGACTTCACCTTCGTGGTCATGGTCTATTGACTTTGAAACTTTTGCTTAGTTTACATGTATTAGTTTGTTATAAGGTCAGTTTAAGGGGAACTATTAGTGGAAGGCCAATTTTTGTTGGTATGCAGATTATAAGTATTGGCCAATCTCATTCCCATGGAGATTGTTTGGCTCCCCATCATTGGTTCGTTGACTTTGAATGTTTTGCATTATTTACATGTTAAAGTTTGTGATTAGACCAGTTTAAGATGAACAACTTACATTTAATGAAGGCAACAGTAGTATACCGCTGTTCAATAGTCATAAATCGGTTAAGCGAAAACAAATCCGGGTTACAAACTAAAACCGAGGGAAACACATCAACTATGAGAGAAAAACAATGGAACAACAGAAACACTGAACTGCAACATAAACAAACGCCAACATACATAGAAACGGACTATTTGATAACAACTGTCATATTCCTGATTTGGTACAGAACATTTTAAG